GGATCACTCGAAGACTTTACTCGGCTGCTTACAACAGAAACCATAGACTGTCGCACTCCTCAACAACTCTCACTTCTCCACATTATTTGCGCCGGTCAAAGCGATGCGGTTAGTTCATTTTATAGAACAGAAAATTTTTATTTCAACTATCTCGGGCTAAGCTGGTCTTTTCTAGCAAGTAGGAAAGATCGAACATCTATTGGATAACGTTTGCGATGCCAGCAAAAAAAGTTCGTTGTTGTCACATCTGTCTAATAATGGATTTTCGGCTATGCACATAGCTGTATACAAGGTTAGTTCAGCTCTTCTCTTTCTTTGAATGACTCTCTTTCTCATTTTTTGCTCTAGCTGAGAATCGACGTAAAGTTCAAAGCAATTTATTTTATACCGCGTTATTTTATCGTTTTTTCTCTTCTAATAAATTTCATTGAATAAACAATCAATAAAAAGTTCCGTCAAGAAATGTACAATCTAATTTCTTTGCGGAGAAAACTAAATTTTTTTTTTGGAGTTTAGACTTGTTACTAAAACACTAGAAGTTATATTTTATCTTCATGTGGATCACAAGGTTAGGGACTCAAATGATTTTCTTTTTTAGGGAGACTTAGCCTTAGTGAAGTGCTTACTGGAAGAGGGAGCTGATCCTTGCCTTGGAGGTAAACATCAACTTCCACCTCTTCACCTAGCCGCTATGATTGGAAGTCCATCTATAGTGCAGGTTTTCAAGAGTTTTTTTTTTGCTTATTGTACATTTTCAAATCTTAGACTTCACAAAACTTGCTTCAATTAGGCTTTGGTGGACAAAGGAGCATCTTTAGCCGCTAATGACTTTGTCCTTTTCACGGCTTTGCATTGCGCTACATATTTCGCCAACGAACAGGTATGAGGCCTTAATTGATGTTGACTTTTTATAGCCCTACCATATTTTAGCTTTCTGCTTAGTTATGGATATGCGAGTAAAATTCAGGTTGTACGATGTTTGCTGAGTTGTGGTGCTGATGGGAACGTCTGTGGAGGAGTAAAGGATCGTCCATTGCATTTGGCTGCGAGCAGAGGCCTTTCGGCTATCACTTCTCT